CCCCCCCCCCCCCCCCCCCCCCCCCCCCCCCCCCCCCCCATCTCCTCTCATCCTCTGCTCTCTGTCTCCTCTCCTCCCGCTGATGCTACTCCTCCGCTCTCTGTCTCCTCTCCTCGGGTGTGTCAAACTATCAGCTTCTCACTCATTCATGTCTCTTTTTCTATCGCTCCATCTGTCTGCTTTCGACAAGCCACCTAATTTGAGTCTCTCTCGGAGAAGATTTAAAAAAAAAAAAAAAAAAACAATTAAAATCAGAGTATTTCTCACATGATCTCATTTCTATCTCCCGTCCAGCGCCGACGGCCAGCCCACTCTCCTACCACCTGAGCAGGTCCAACAGCTGAACATGCGCTCAACGGGTATGCTGAACAACGTGCAGCGCCTCTTCTCCTACCACATGATCCAGACGTTTGGTTGTGACTACTCCACCAGCGGTGTTACGCTGGAGGCCGTGCAGACGAAGCTACGCAGCTTCCTGGAGCTTCGTACAGAAGACGGGCCCCGTCATGACACCTATCTGATTTTCTACAGCGGGCATACACACAAAGGCACCGGTGCTTGGGCTCTGGCTGGTAAGAGCCCCCACGTTTTTGTTTTTGCTTTTACTTTACCTTCTTGGTAAAAATGATCAGTCGTCACGGTTAATTCCACTCTCTTATTCGCGCAATTAATTTCTAGGGCTGTATTACTTAGACCAGTGATTTTTATGCTTATTTCAGCTGACACTGATATTTTGCATTTTACTGCAATACCACCATGTGCTTAATGTTCTAGGCAAGGCCAGGCTATTTTAATTATGTAGCATATTTCATTACAAGTACACTCAATGTGCCTTACATTAAATCGCATTTATCAATAAGTAACATGAGATTATAATGAATAAGATATAAGATGAAGATATAAGAACACCCACCTTCCAAAATCCTTTGACAAACCATTCTACTCTTCCAAACTACCACCAGTAGAGTTGACCTATTATTCCAGAGATTGACTGTAGCATATCCAAATTGAAAGAATGGAAATTATAATTTGATTAAAACATATTATCACATGTCAAGTCAGGTGCAGCAGCCGAACATTACATGGTGAGATTGAGAGTGTGTGAAAAAGTAGTTAGCAAGTGAGCAGAGAAGTGAAAAGCTAGTTAAAATATCAAATAAACAGGTTGAAATTGTTTGGTAAAAGTATTACATAAATGGCCAGGTCTGCAACACTGACAGCCCGTCCCATCAGGCCTCTCTCCAAAGGCCAAAGCCACTCCCCCAAAATTCTCATAATGACCACAAACACAAGACTACGGTGATGTGCAATGAGTGCAGACTCGGTTTTCATTACGGTCTGATTTCCATTCTTTTCATTTCCCCTCCTCTCTGTTAATCAGAGTCCAATATGCCGAGATCAGACAAGTAAGCCAAAAGGGTTGAAAATGGCCGTGAAGGACAGAAGTTTGGTTCCAGTAGAGGAGTTCAGTCGGTCCGCTGTGACATTCCCTCGACAGAAATGAGAATCACAGCAGGTTAACACCGTGTGAGCTCCGGCGCCTCTGTTCAGAGATTACTTGAGGCATTATCTCTGCGTGATGCTGCAAACAAGAAAACAAAACAAAAAAATCCCCCATTGAAAAGATAATCACTTCCCTCTGTCACCATCCTGAATGGACCTTTTCAGTCGGTGTTCAGTGGGTAATTGTACACATTTTGAAAAAGTGGGCTAGTTTTGGCAGGAATCCGAATTGAGAGAAGTTGCTGATTTCAAGTCGTATTATCACTGTAATCATGAAAACTTTGTGCGACAGTGTTGTTCAGTCCTCAATTATACAGGAATCCATGAAAGGACTAGTTTGGCTTTACTCGTGGATACTTGCCTGCAGATTGCTTTAGTAATGCAGCAGAAGTGTCTCTAAATCGGCTTGTTTGTTGGTGGAAGGAGACCAAATTCATACCCAAATATAAATCAGTCCTTTGTGGAGTTGCTCTTTGGCCAACAGTAGGAGTCGATTTTCTCCTTCGCTCTTATTTACTCACCTTGCACTTTATTACAGTAAGTGATGATTTTGAGGAAATAATTCGGTACATCTGTTGGCGAGGTACCACACAGCTCTCATATTTGAACTCTGCCATCTGGAACGCGGCATCTTCGTGCAATTTGTGTGGTTGTGATGACGGCCGGTTAGAGACGGACAGTCCCCTCAAGTGAAAGTTGACAGCTTTGATCCCTGCAAAGCCACAGTGTCCATCAACAGCCAGGTGTCCTGTTGAAATGTCCTTGAACACAACACTGGTTCTATAACCACCGCTGTTTATCTCGACAAGTGAGTTTGCATATAGTTTTAGCAAAGTAAAACATAAAAATGCAAATGTGTGGTTCAAGAAGACCTTTAATATACAAATCACAGGGATACTAACTTGAGCGACGATTTATTATTCCGTCTCACTATCTAACCTCCTCTCCTGCAGGAGGTGAGAGCGTCCACATGGCCCAGCTGCTGGAGTTGTGGAAGGAGAAGAACGCGGGCCACTTCTCCCGCCTCATCCTCGTCTTGGACACGGAAAACTCCCTCCCCTGGGTGAAGGACATCCGCAGGGTGGACGGCATCTACGTAGCCGTGCAGGGTGCCGAGCTGTCCGCCACCAGGGTCGACCCGGAGCCCGGGGACGTCCCCCTCCTCGGGGACTTCACGGCCGAATGGGTGGAGTTCAACTGCAACCCAGACAGTGACACCCAGTGGTCGGAAAAGGGAAGGACCGTGACGGCGGCATACGGCGTGTCCAAGCGCTGGAGCGACTACACCCTTCACCTGCCCACTGGAAGCGATGTGGCCAAGCATTGGAAGACCCACTTTCCCAAGGCTACGTATCCCATGGTGCACCTTTCCAACTGGTGCTGTGGCCTCAACCTGTTCTGGGTGTGCAGCGTGTTCCTGCGCTGCTTCAGGAGGTGTAAGCTAGCTTGGTTCCCACCGGCTGTACTGGACACTGGGCAGGGCATTAAACTGGTGCACTCTTAGGTAATGACAGAGATTGTACATGTACATTGTCACGCTGGTAGTTTGTTTTTGAACAGCTGGGTACGATGTGTTTATAGAAAGGAAAGTGTACACCTATGATACTCATGCACAAACATGCACACAGGTTTTACCCCATGAGTACAATGTGGCCTTCAACAACTTCCAAATTCATTTTTGCATTATGTTTAATTGCTATAATGCAGAGATATTGTGCTGATAATTTAATGTCCAAACATAGGCTCAATATTATATTGTGTAACCCAAAATGATGGAATGAAAAAGCACAGAAAGCTTTTTATGGTGAGAGATATCACAATTATGGTGAATAGCACTTTGTCATGTACGGAACTATGATTTCTTAATATATGATGATATCTTGGGGCTGTGTGATATATTATGTTTTTGAATACTATTTTGCCAATACTGTACAATTATTTTTTTTTTTTTTTTTTGGGAAAAGTTTACTGGTTATCTCTTTTTGTTATAAAGTTTGATGATTTTCTAAATCACAGCGTCTTAAAGTGCCTTGAAGATGGATTTGGGTTGATCTTTAATATGGTGGCCTTATATTTTTTTTTTTTGGTACATGCAAATGTGTGTGTATAGCTCCGTGCCTCTTGTTTATATCTGAGAATAGACCAACGATGGCTGCTGTGGGGCTGAACTCAACGACCCTCTGGTTACAGGACAGTCGAACCTCGAGGCCGACTGGACACTTTTGCTGTGGGATCTTTCCCTTCATCACTTTCCAACCTTCCAGATATGCATTTATTCCTGAATTGGACCAAGACAGATGCTTTCGTCTTGAGGCCGTGTATTATCACTAGACATTGTCCCTGTACTGTGCCTCATCCTGTTAATTTACACCAATGAGTTCAAGTTGAAGAAGTCATTCGCTCCGTACAAACGCAGCACATTCAAGTTTTCTAGACGTCGTCCTTGCCACGCTTTGAAAAAGTGACTTGTCACGAATAACGACTATTCAAGAAGCTCCCAATGTTTTTTATTGGTGCACTGACCTTAAGAACTCCTATTGACTATCCTTTATTTTCTCCTTTATTGGCTGTGTTGGCTCTCGCTCCTACACAACCTTAAACTCTGGAGTGGATTGCTGCCTTAATGGTGTCAAGTGGCCACATGTTCATTCCCCTTGTGCCTCTCTTGAGTTATGCCTGACGTTGTCAACATTAAACTCTGATAATAAACTGATTAAACATCGCTGCCTGATTTAGTTGTATGAGAAATGTAGGTGAGGGAATCGAATACATTTGAGTTTCATTACTTAGAAAGTAAGACATGGTGGTAGACAATCAGCTCGGCTCATTTCACATGGATGACTTTACAGACACTGAACAAATATAGACTGCTCTGTGGAAACGCCAGCATTGTCCTGGCAAATATTAGGTTTGTGAGCTGAAGAAAAATCAGTGTAAAGGGAAAATGAAACAATACATGACACAGTATCTCTGAGGGATTTGTTCGCTGAGCTTTCACCTCGGCTGCTCCCGGTGCCTGGCCTGCTGGGTATTTTTTTACCAGTTTCAGAAAGCAGGGCTGTGGCCTGGCTCATGCCTGGAGGTTTGGTGAGACTTTAGAGAGATGAAAGTGGACGTTCGAAAGAAAAGCTTTGAATGACAGGAACCGGAGCGGCCTTTCCCCACGCTCAGCCTGCTGTGCTTAGGTGCTGTAAATATCAAAACCATTAGGCGGGTATGAGCTATAAGAGGAGTATTCACAGCGGCAATTAGTGGAGAGGAGACGAGTATAAATGCCGTCTGGTGTGGGCGTTCTCCTCATTGCTGCATAGCCTGCAAGCTGTGGTTATAGCTAAAGTCAGGGATTCATGTATATAGCACGGAAATTAGATTCCGGGCCGGATTCATCTCCTAAACTGGATTAGGTAATAAAAGAGCCGGCCGCCTCTGAGGCCCATGAGGTTGTGCTGAGTCAGAGCACACACATTTACTCAGATGCATGCACAGATACGACCGCACACACCGATTCTCTACTGCTTTTCTCTTTTACTCTTTCACTTTCATGGGATATTATTTGGGGAAATAACTGTGCTTGTAGAGCCAAAGTTGCATCTTGAATGTCCCCTTTTCTCTTCCTATCCTGGAGCAGAAGGGAGTAATGGGATGAGCGATTACGGATTCAGCAGCAACACTTCCAACTTTTGCGCCCTGCTTTTCAGGAGGCCTGCTGGCTGAGGCTCACAGTAGGTCGACATTGAAATGTCAAAGCCATTATCTCAAATTACAAGGGCTGAGGATGCGCTTAGCGGCCGTTTAACCATGCAACGCTCGCTAGTATGCAGACAATCATTTGGAAAGAGGCTGCCAAGATGTGCCTGCTCGCAGGTTTCCTTCTCAACATCGCACTTTCTCTAAAACCCATATGGTAATATCAACACTACATTAACGTAAGGGCTGTCACAATATCAGGTTTTCACTACACGATTATCTTGGAAAAGAATTCACGAAAACAATATTATCTCTCTATAGAAAAGATAATTACATAATGCTGTCAGTTAAAAATATGTGTATTTCTCTTTTGGCAAATGAATTACACTCAAATAATACATATAGAGAGGTGTAGAGTCTAACCATAGTATTTACAATATCTTATATTTAGTATATCATGGTTATGGTCAATACTGGTATATCACAACAGGCCTAAATAACTTCCTGCCAGTATGATACTTCAATGAATTGAATATGCTTATTTGCACAGTGCATATGAGCATATTCAGGCTTTTCCAGCAGCGATTAAGAACTATTCTAACTGGGGGGGGGGCAAACGTTTTAACTCCCTCAACATTCGCTCTCAAGATAAACTGAAATGTATAGATTTTCAAATTCAAGGCAGAGATATGAGGAGATTTTGCATGGTACAAGGATAGAAGTTACTTTGGGCAAGGGTTTACCAGCTGATGCAGAGTGGGGGGGGAGGCAGACATTGTAGCTTCAGTATATTACATGTATGTCTTGTAAAGAGAATGTCAACTTTATTGCAGGATAAAGGAATTGAGAATGTGTTTTGTACAGTATTGTGTGGGCGGACATCTGGGCCGCCATGTTCTATTGTCATCTTGGCCCCGTGAACACATGAAACCCCTTCGCTGTCTTATCTAGATGATAAAAAAATACAGGCTAATGGTTAACAGAGATGAACGCAGCTAACATTGGATCACACACTATGAGGTGTGAGTAGTGTCATCAGTATGGACTGCTCATTTTTAAACTCATCCTCAATGAAACTGAACTGCTCTGGATATTGGCTCTTGTAAGCAGCCAAATATACTTAGTATGAGCCAGATGATGCCGATACGCTTGATTTAATTAAAAGTGTAAATCGGAGGCTAACAAGACTGTCAGCACTGTGGGATCGGAGGTTCGGTAATGAGCTTTGTTGTCACAGTCTGGTTGAGATGGGACGGGGCTAGGCTGAGCTAGCCTAATAGCCTAGTGAAACAGATGACTTCCCTATTCTGACCTAACAAACGGGGACCACAGACGTATTCGTAGTCAGCCACAGCAGACTTCTCCTGCTCACAGGAAACAAACTGCAACAAGCTGTGGTATCATTAGGTTTACACGACAGGAGAAGTTACACCAATGCTGTAACAACCTGTATGTTACGATGGATATGGGTGGATTGTGGTAGACTGGACTGGATAGGTCTGTGCAGTGTTTGAATGTCCTTATGAAACCCTTCATTGAGCAGAATTTGAAGTCGGACCAAAAGCTATCCCAGCTCCCAGTGCTCTCTCTCTATAGACTCCCATACTGCCTCGAAATTCTCTCTCCAGCTAATGCACTGCTGATGCGTGACTCACCTAAGCCTGCTCCTGCGATCTTCAGTCCGTCTGACTGCCAGTAAGTGGGTTATGGAGCCGCACTGGGGGTCTCTTCTCAACCATGACATAACAACGCACTCAGGCACTGACTGGAGACATACCTGTTTACTGCCTGTAACAAGCAGTCAGATGGCTTTAAGTGTGGCTCAGGCATCGAGAAAGGTTGGGTTGAAGGGGGATTAAGGGACGGCTGCTTCACAAGATGATAGATTTACAAGAGGTCTTTTGCTCTCCTGCATGTTTATCAGCGGTAGTGTTTACTGCTGCGTTTCTTGCCTTGTACAGGTGTACCGTGTGTGTGTGTGTGTGTGTGTGTGCTGCATTTTGCACATTCATTTCATATCCATTCAGTGCAAAAGACATTCAGAATTTATACCATGACCTTTCCCCAGAGGCAGAGAACATTTTAAAGGATATTCGAGTGGAATTTGTACTTTGAATAATAAGGGAATCCTTTAGTGAAAAAGACAAAGCCAAATCAGTACCAAAATGATGCACAACTTTGGCCATGGCTTCATTATTAGTGTCCCTATCCTGCTGGTTTTGTGTGTGTGCGCTTGTACGTGTGTGTAGTGTCAGCAGAACCACAGGAGGTCCAGTTTGATTGCAGCTTCACAGCTGGCTCATGATGTTAGCCAGCCAGGCTCCGAGTCGAGTGAAGAGAGAGAGAGAGAGAGAGAGAGAGAGAGAGAGAGAGAGAGAGAGA